GGGTTTTGGGGTTTAGGGTGTTAGGGTTTTAGGGTTTAGGGTTTAGGAGGTTTAGGGTTTAGGGGTTTAGGGTGTTAGGGTTTAGGGTGTTCGGGTTTAGGGTTTGGAGTTTAGGGTTTAGGGTTTAGGATTGAGGGTTTTCGGGATTATCATACAGTTACCTGATCCCGAAAACCCACGGAAAACGAAGTCGTGAACTTGAGGAATCGAAGAAGAAACGCCTTCCTGGAGCCTTTCAGACGCCTCGCAGAACCACCCTGGATGCCCAAACCCGAAAATCCTAAATGCCTAAACACCAAACCCATAAGAGACCCTAAACCCTAAACGCCTTACCCTGAACCCTAAACCAAGTCCCATACCCCCAAACCCTAAACCCCTAAAGCCTAAACCCTCAACCCCTTCCGGGAGGATGCAGGCGAGCAGCCCGACGCGCTTCTTGGCCTCAAGTGAGGCTTAAGCGCTGGGCTCAAAGCGATCCAGATCCCTCAGTTGCTTTACTTCAAGGGTTGAGGTTTCAGCGGTTTAGGGTTTACTATAGGGGCCTTAATAATTACCCATACTATTTGGGGTTCTTTCTTGAAATTATAGCATAATATACACAAAAACCCCGTTCTAAGTCAGTGTCCAACCCTTAACTCTGAACCCAATCCAGAGCCCTACACCTCAAAGCCAAAGCCTGAATCCCGTATACGGTTTAGGGTTTAGGGTTTGGGTTTAGGTTTTAGGGTTTGGGTTCTTTTAGGTTTTAGAGTCAAACCCTATGTTCGAAATCCTTGCCCAACAGGATCTCCCTCAACTCTGCCATCAGTGTCTGCGAGTCGGCTACGGCATGGCAGCAGGTACTGGGTGCTGGGGCTACCATCGGGACATGAAGCGAGGTCTCACAGAGTTTCCTAGAGTGTTGTAGGGTTTCTTATACATTTAGGTTTTGTACAGGGTGTGGTCGCATTTTCGGGTTCGGAGCCCGAGGTTTTTGTTTGGAGGTGTTGGAGTTTGGATTTGGACCATGGAAGGGTCTTGGGATTCGTTGGTTTTGTGTCTGGCAGGGGTTTCAGGAAACTACGGGGGGCTGATATTTGAGAGTAGGAGTGAAGGTTCTTGTAGAGTAGAGTTGCAACTGTCAGAGACTCCCAACTTGTAGTATTTCGTGTCCTGGGATCTACCAGCTGGGCTTTTCGCAGAAAAAGGGCATCTGTATGATAAGGGCGTGCTGATCGGTACCCTAAACCCTAAACCCTAAACCCCCGGATTTTGAGGTTTCTGTCTTTAGAGGGAGGTTTCTTCAAGAGTCACCAGCTTCCAGGGCGTAGTTAGTTGCCGGCTAGACCCTTCACCCCGAAGCCCCGAGCTTCAGAAAATGAAGGTCCCCAAGGCAGACCCTCAAACGCAAGATCTGCATCAAAAGCTATGTAGGGTTTAGGGATTTAGGGGTTCAGGGGTTAGGGTATATAGGGTTTAGGGTTTGAGGATCCCCCCAAAAAACATGAGACGTGTAAGAACCTCCCAGGAACACCGGGATCCGGCAAAACCCTTGTGATGCCCCTAAACCCCCAAAAAAACTACTCGAACAGTTATTTAAAATCGGACTTGGTGGGCGACGATGGTGGGGTTTAGGGTTTAGGGTTTAGGGTTTAGGGTTTAGGGTTTAGGGTTTAGGGTTTAGGGTGGAGGCTGGAGCTTGCAGCCTGCATTCTGCTTGCCTTTCGGATCTTCGCAAACATGGTTCCAGGTGGCTTTAGAGACGGTGGCGGCTTCAGAGATGCAGGCCCCAGACAACATCCTTAAGGACGAAAAGAGCCCTAAAAGGGTTTAGGGTTCATAGACCATATAGGGATTCATCGTATAAGGGTATAGGGCCCCTACTTTCAAGGCTCTTTTCGTCCTTAAGGATGCACATGTCGGTGATGCTGGCCCGCCATTTCCGGGGACGGCCACATTCAAAGTCCCCCCAGCACGGCCCATCGAGTGTGCAGCACACTACAGTCTTCGCTGCTGGATTTCAGATTCTACACAGTGGAGCTCTGGGTGCTCATTGACGTGGGCCGGTGGTGGCATTACAGCTGACGGGAGTGCCAAAGAGAGAATTTCTCCCCGGATCAGCTCGCGAACGGGATACGTCCGGCCCTAAAACGCGCATAACAGCGCCCATGATAAGTCCTTGCCCCTCAACCTTCTCTGAAAGCCTGGCCCCCTGTAGAGCCTTAAAGAACGGCTAAGGCTTCATGGTTTTGGGCTTCAGTGCCTTGGGGACCAAATGACCCTTATAAGTAGGGGCCCTATACCCTTATACTATGAATCCCTATATGGTCTATAAACCTGAAAACCTTTAGGGGTTCATTTCGTCCTTAAGGTGAGAACCCATTCTTCTTGCCCTCTAGACCCTTGTAGAACCGCTTAGGATTCACCCTAAACCCTAAACCCTAAACCCTTGTTGCAAGGCCCTTCTCCTGTGGCTGGATGTTGGCGACAGAGGGCTGAGGCCCACTGTGCCACTTGGCCAGGCCCTGCCCTCCACATGGGTAGTTTGTCTAAATTAGGGTCCCCTTTTGGGGGTCCTTTTTATAAGGGCCAAGGGCGCCGTACTATATTGGGGACCTAAAAAGGCACACTAATTTAGAGAACTACTTACATGAAACTGTTAGTTTAGGTTCCCCAGTAGTACCCTTTTGCCCTTTTTTTTTGTTTTGGGGGGGGTTAATGAAACCAAAAGGTAGGAAAAAGGGTACCTTTGTTGTTTGGGGGCTACTGGGGAAACTCTTGGTTGCACGCGCAGACTGGAGGCTTTAGTGTTTAGGCGATGGTTCTGTGCTGCTAGAACATGTCGGATTTGAACCCTAAACACTAAACCCTAAACCCTAAACCCTAAACCCTAAACCCTAAGGAAAAGGTGCTCGATCTGAGGAGTTGGAGTTAATGCTCCAGACAGTGTCGTCCAAGTACCTAAAGCGCCCGCAAGCACTAGCCTACATTACTAACGAAATCGAAGGATTCTAAACTCTAAGCCCAAGTACCCAATCATTGGGAACTTCGGACTTTACTAACTATGTAACTATCGGCCCCACGAGCCTAGACATAGCATGTACATTTAGTTGCCTGATACCCAGAGGGTCCATATATACTACCATTATGGAATTAGGCCTTAAAAGACCATCCCTATTATGGTTTTGGGGACCTAATTCCATAATAGTAGTGTATATGGACCCTCTTGGATACAGCTAGTTCTAGTATGGTAGCCAACAAAACCCTGCATGGACTCATTCTTCGGCCTTCAGCCTGTCGTTCGGGTTTAGGGTTTAGGGTTTAGGGTTTAGGGTTTAGGGGCCTGACTTTCGGCAGCTTCACTTGTCGTGGCTTCAAGCCCTGAAAAGCTCTGCAGTGAACCTGGGAACTGTGGGGCAGAATCTTGAGAAAAATGCTACTCCTCAGGGCTCACTAACAGCATAACTCGAGTATAAAGAATCCGAAATCCGAATCCGATTCTAACTGTTGTGGCCTTGTTCTGAGGATTACTCTGAGCACCGCCATCAGCGCTTGTGAGAAGGTTCCTTGCACAACAAAAATTTGGGAGTTTGCGAAAAGAAGGGGTACCTTATTTTGGGGTCTTTATAATAGGGATCCTACTATTCAAGGTACTATATTAGGGTCCCCTATTTTCGGAAACCCCCATATTTGGGAGGCTCGAGGCCGAGAATCTGAAGATCTTGAAGATCCTGTCTGTTACGCTGTAGCTGTCGCTCGACAGAGCAGTCCACATAGCTGGCTTAAGGGCTTCTGAGTATCCTTATCGCACGGCGCGAATGAGTGGGCGGCATTGTGATATGGGACATGTTACAGCTGGGGGAACGAAGCCCTATCTAGCTGAAATCTTGAGCACTTCGTCATCATCTACTTGCCTCGCGAGCCTCCCTAAATCTAGACCCGCAGCAGCTATTCTGCGACACACGAGTTGTCGGCCGCTGCTGCCGCATGACCTTAATGGTGCAGGCGAGCACTGAGCTCATCCAAAACCTTGGGGACCAAATGACCCTTGTAAGTAGGGGCCCTATACCCTTATACTATGAATCCCTATATGGTCTATGAACCTGAAAACCTTTTGGGGTTCATTTCGTCCTTAAGGAAAGAAGACCAACGAAGCGACCTCCCTGCTATCCCAACTCCAACCAGCCTCCAGTTAATTTACCACTCGAAGTACGGTTTAGGGTTTAGGGTTTAGGGTTTAGGGTCCTAGTCCAAAAGCACCTCTGGGGATGGAATGTATACCTGAATCCAATCCGAAGCTTTACGACTTATTCCGGCTACAAATGCCAAACAACCCTTTCACCAAGCCTCTGGAAACCCACAAATGCCAATTGAGAACCCACCCCGAAACTCTATATCTATCTATATATCTATCTATCTATCTACCTACCTACCTACCTACCTACCTATCTATCTATCTATCTATCTATCTATCTATCTATGTATCTATCTATCTTTCT